TCTTATTTCTAATGCAGTCAATTAGAACAGGCTTCACCGTGGGGGAAACTGATTTCCAAAACACCTCCCCATGTTCCAGAAAGGGGCCACCCATGGACAGGGAGCCAGACCAGAAGTAGCCAAGGCAAACATCTCTGTAGCTATGGAAGTAGTAAGCTCCCACCACGGCAAAACTGCAAACTGGCCGTGGAAGCATGAAAACAGAGCACACAGACTAAGTAATGGCCAGCAGACCCCAGCAGGGTCCAAGGCCAGCAGCACCTGCAAGGCCCACAGCACCAACAGCTGTCAGGGTGAAATGCCAACAGTCAAGGTCAACAGCAAACAAAGATGAACGGGGGCTTCATAGCTGGACCACTCCCCCCCGTCCCCGGGAGAGCATCAGGGGAGCAGCGTGTGGTCATCTCCCTTGTTGGGCCTGGGACAAGCACAGAGTTTGGGCCCCCATTGGCTCAACTTGTGAAATACCCCGAGAATGAACCAATCACATCAGAAATGGCTTCCGTCTTCCTTTCGTTTCTGCCATCCTATAGAAAGCCCCTGGACAAACAGTTCCGTGGGTTTCCCCTTTCTTGGATCCTCTCCTGAGCTCTGCTTTCGGCCTTGGAGTTTAATCTTCTTTAAGCTGTATCTCTATAATAAAAAGTTCCCTTCCATGCACACCCTTCTTGTCTGTGAATTTCTTGCGCAATTTTGGGGGACAAGGACCCAAAGCGGAGCCTCTAACTCGTGAAGTTCTGTGTGACCCTTGGCGTTCAGTGCTCTCACCTAATATGAGAACCCTCGCTCTCAGAAACACCCCCTTTCCCGTTCCGCTATTATGAGTACTACCTGGTAGTGAGGACTCCATGAGCAAAAGAACAGAGTGCCACAGGCGCGAGAGTTAGTGAGTGTGCGTGTAAACACACACACACACACACACACACACACACACACACACGTGTGCGCATGCGAGAAAAAAAAGAGAGACTCACACATGCAAACAGACACACAAAAGAATGAGAAAGAGAGACAAGGAGGGAGTGGGGAGAGAGAGAGAGATTTCACTGGGTCACAGAAAATGTGCTAGAATCAAAGGGAATGAAGACAAGGACATGAAAACCCCACACAGAAGAGAAAGCCCTACCGAATGGCAGTTATTAGTAAAGATGACTAACTGCGATAGCTAATCTTGCTTGTCAACTTCACTGGATCTGGAACAAACTAAAAGGCAAGCTTGCTGGGCAAAGCTGGGAGGAATTTTCTCGATCAGGTTTCTGAGATGAGAAGACCCAGCCTGAATGTGGGCAGCACCTCCGCGCAGCAGCTCAGATGGAGGAGATCTGGAGGCCAAAAGGCTTTGCTTTTTGCCTGCAGGCCCTGGCTCTTGCTGGCAAGGTCATCTACCCAACTCCTGCCACTACCGCTGTCGTGTTCGGTTGCTCATACCAGAATGTGACTTCTTCAGGCTTCCAACACGGACTGAAGAATCCACCCAACAGTGGAAGAGGGAATCCTCTAAGCCTCCAGCCCCAGGCTGGGACTGCTGAGGCATCCAGCCTCACAGACAACACGGCTACCAGGTTCTGTGTCTCCCCAGTGTGAAGACTGCCGGTGATGGACAACCTAGACAGCAGTATAAGGCAAGGTGGTGAATCTCCTTTTAATATATATATCCATTGTATTAGTTCCAGTCCCCCAGAGAAGTCTGATATACTCCTGCCACAATAATCTCTTGTCTTTGATCGCTAATTCTTTAAGCTTTTTAATATAACCTGAGAACTTGGAAACCACAGAGCTTGAAGGCCCAGGGACCTCATCTCGATCACCACCTCCAGCCAGGAGAGGCTTCTGAAACCTGAAAGACGCTCCACGATCACACCCATCTCGGTGCACAAGATTCCAAAGCCATGTGTCAAAGGCACTTCCTACTATCCCCTGGAGTCATTCTCAAACGGTCAGAAACACCAGCAGATAACACCGCGTGGACGAGACCAGAGGAACACCCGCCTGTCCTATTTTAAGGCGCCGAGACGGCACCCGGCCATCTGCCTTGGTACTCATTCCAAGTTGGAGGAAGAAACTTCTCTGTTCTGTTCAATTTAAACTCCTCAAGACCATTTGAACGCATTCCATTTTCAAACAGTTTGGAGTGCAGCTGTTTATCATCGGGTTATGGGACAGTGTCACGCTGCGGGGTGGGTGGAGGTGGACAGTGAGTGAGATGCTGTGTGCAAACAAAGCTCCATCTGGCACGGCAGAGCAGGCGTGCGCCTTCGCTGGGTGCATTAGGACTAGGTCAGTCACAAGGGACACAGGCACAGTGCAGAACCATTCGTGCAAAACCAACGGGGACCAGGAGGGAATACAGTTAAACAAGAAAGGAGAGCACTAGGATACTTTCAGGTGTTTCTCGGCTCCTCTACGTTTCTCCCTGCTTTCAGACAAGCTTTAGGAAGTGTCAAGGGTAAGAAGGAGGAGACAGATGATCTCGCCATCTAGAATGGGCTCCAGGTTTTACCTACGCCAACCAAGTGTCACATAGCATGACCATGACAGAGGATACCATGGCCTTCATAGGATGTTCCTTAAAGTGGAGAGGGGGTGCTATGGTTTGGATATGATTTGAGTCTGTATACCTCTCCCCCCCAAATTCATGCAATAGAAGCCTGACCATGTGTGGCGACGTAAGAGTGCTGGGACTTTTAGGGGGTGGGGCCTAATGCCAAGTCATTAATTCATGGAGGCTCGCCCTTGGAAGGGATTGAAGCAGGTTTCAAGGGACCACAGATGCTAAAGGTGTTATAAAAAGACCAAACTTGGCTCCTGAACCTCTCTGGCAGGCTGCTCCACTTCCTCTCTCACCTTGCTATCATTCCATCCACCACACTGTGAGCGCCATGGGAACCCACGCAGAGGCAGAACTGACCTAGGACATCAGCCTCGGTAACCGTGAGCTCAGTTACATTTCTCTGGAGAAGAAAAACGCTGTTTTTGGTATTCTGTTAGAGCAACAGAAAATGGACTAATATGGTGGGGATCTATTAGAAGATAAAGATTAAAGAATGCCTGAAAAATAAAAATGTTACCTTCCACAAAATAAGGCCACACCTTTTTGCCATCATTCAAGCCATCTTTCTCGTCTCCATGCTAGTAAATACGCACCTTTCACAATTCTCTTGCTTCTGACATACGTGGGTGGCTCAAAGATCAGGTTGCAAACAGCCTTGCTTAGGAGTCTGGGTACAACCACTTTACGCTGTGGGGTGATGGCATGCTACTTCTACCAATTGCCTCCAACTACAACATAACTTAAGCTATTTTTAAAAAAAACACCCATTTTAGCTCATTCTATGCCAAGCACAGGCTATTTCCTTCCAAGGATGTAAGCAAACTACTGCAAAACCCGGTCACTTATTGGCACTCCGTTGATGACCTGATTCTACTCCCAGGTTACACTCAACTTTACGACCATAAAGCCTTCAAACCCAAGTTTCTTTGAGAAGCCAGGGGGTGAGGTCTAACAGAAAAGCTTAACCTATTTCTCTGGGGGCATAAAGAATGCACTCTTGGAGCGCACTAGGCTGGGCACCTGTGGTAAAGTCGATCTTCAGTGAGAGAGAAAACAGCATGAACTGAGTTACTCTCGCTTGGACACACTTGGATACACAGTGCTATGCCAGAACCAGTTCATACACAGGTTAACACAACACACTTGTACGGGTCCACCAGATCCACGCCAAAAACCCACTCGGGGAGTTTCCACTAAATTTAAGGTTGCCTGGGGTGGGGTGTGGGGAAGGTGAGGTAATCATTTAGTTTTAAGTAGTATTAGCAGTCATACGCTCTGCCCCCACTGCCTCCCTAATTTTGTCGGCCTTTCATTGGTTCCCTATCCCTTCTACTGTAGTTGGCATGTTTTTGTAGGGACAGTAATTTATTTATTTTAATCCGTGTACAGTGGCCAAATGGATCATTTGGCTCAGTCAAATCCCGTCGTTTAAGCCTTAAACAAAAATGGATTTTAAATCGAAAAGCTCACCAGCCTCAAGCTCTACCTCATTTTCACATGGCCTTGTCCAGCTTATGCCTTCCCAGCACGCTACCTCAGTCTACTGGAGCCTGGTAGCTGCAGGGCCTTTAGGGGACAAGTCCTTCTGCGTAGCCACCCCTACCAGATTAATCCTAGTCCCCCGCAGCTGCCAGCAGGGCTCTGGATTTTTGTTTGTTTATTTTATTTTTTTTTAAAGCTAATGCCCTTATCTTTGCGCTCCAGCCGGAAGGTCTCTTGAGCCTTCTTTCCTGCCCCCTTGCTACTAGAATTGGGCCCGGTGCCTCGGGCTGCCTTCTCCGAGTTAGGAAAGGGCTCGAACTTTCCCTGGGAACCGAGGGGCGTCCCCGCGGCGCCTTGGCATTCCCCCCTGCCTCCACCCCTCCCCGCAAAACCCCGGTGTCGCCCGAGGGAACGCTCTGCGGCCCTCACTACAGTCCTCCTCCTCCAAACCCCGGGCGGGAACCCCAGCAAGCACCCGGTGCACCGCGCCCGCCAGGCCCCTCGCTCGCCCCAGCCCCTAAACCAGGTTCTAAGGTCGGGGTGGGGTGCCACCTGCGGGCCGCCACGCGCGGGCTCCGGTGCGCGGCTCCCCGGCAGACTGGGCGGCTCCCTACCGGGCTGGGCGGCTCCCCCGCGGGTGCGGGGCGAGGGGCGCGGGGCCTGGGGGTGGCAGAGTCGCAGGCCGCGCTGCGGTCCCACCCGGCCGAGAGGCGGCGCGGAGCCCGCACGGGGCCGCCTCTGCGATTGGCTGCACCCCCCCCCTCTCCCGCTCCGCCCGCCGCGGCGCCCGTGGAGCGAGGACGCGGGGACCCGCCTCCCGCCCGCTCCCGACCCCGGGCGCGCGGGATAAAAGGCGGGCGGCGGACGCGGGAGCCCGGGCCCTGCAGCCTGCGAGCGCCACCGGCGGGCTGGCTTCACCCGCCGCCCACCCCACCCCGCTCCCTGCGCGCTCGAGCCCGAGCGGTACCTGCAGCCGAGCGAGAGCCGAGGACACTGCTCCTTCGCCGCCGCCTCCAAAGTCGCCAAAGTTGAGAGGCTGCCGCCCACCGGGAGCAGGAGGGAAGGTGCGAGCGCGCGGGGCTCGAAGCGACCCCGCGACGCGCGGAGCTGCCGAGCGCACGACCGTCGGCGGCCTCTCCCGAGCCGCGGCGGCTTCCCAGCGCTGTGAGTGGTCCGCTAGACCGACGGCTGGCTAAGTATTTCCGTTCAATTGTTTATGGGATGCGATTGTGTGTTTTTGTGTTGGTGGAGGGAGTTAAGGCAGAATGTGTCCTTTTTAAAAACTGAGTTTCTGATAGTGAGACGGTTGCATTGAGAGAAGGTACCTGGAAAGCCTACAGAGTTGGAGGAACCAAGGAGAAAAAAATGCATTTAACAGGCTTCCTTTCTTTCTTTTTTCTTTTGGCTCCCTTGTTGGAAATGAAAGTCATTTCCGAAGTTAATTGAAACGGAAGTAAATGCCGAATAACTGAGGGCTTAACTAGTGGTAGTTAACCTGTACTTTCCTCCCTTTTTAAATATTGTTGCCAGATTGGTGGGCGGCTGAACTGGTAAGAAGCGCCTGGAAGAGACTGAGAGGCGACCATAATGTCGTTAAGGTTCCACACACTGCCCACCCTGCCTGGAGCTGTCAGACCCGGTTGCAGAGAGCTGCTCTATTTGTTGGTGATCACCATGATGGTGAACCCCGGCGCCTCAGGAATGTGTCCCACGGCTTGCATCTGCGCCACTGATATTGTCAGCTGCACCAACAAGAACCTGTCTAAGGTACCTGGGAACCTTTTCAGACTGATGAAAAGACTGGATCTGAGCCATAACAGAATTGGACTTCTCGATGCCGACTGGATCCCTGTGTCGTTCGTCAAGCTGAGTACTCTGATTATTCGTCACAACAACATCACCAGCATCTCCACGGGCAGTTTCTCCACGACTCCAAATTTAAAGTGTCTTGACTTATCATCCAATCGGCTGAAGTCGGTGAAAAGTGCCGTGTTCCAGGAGCTGAAGGTCCTGGAGGTGCTCCTCCTCTACAACAACCGCATTTCCTCCCTGGACTCGGCAGCATTCGGAGGGCTCTCCCACTTGCAGAAACTCTACTTGAGTGGGAACCTCCTCACACAGTTTCCTATGGATTTGTATGTGGGGAGGTTCAGGCTGCCCGATCTGACATTTTTAGATGTTTCTTATAATCGAATCCCTTCCATACCAATGCACCACCTAAATTTAGTGCCGGGAAAGCAGCTGAGGGGCATCTACCTTCATGGAAATCCGTTCGTCTGTGATTGTTCCCTGTACTCATTGCTAATCTTTTGGTACCGTAGACACTTTAGCCCCGTGATGGATTTTAAGAACGACTACACCTGTCGCCTGTGGTCTGACTCCAGGCACTCCCGTCAGCTGTCCTTGCTCCAGGATAGCTTTCTGAACTGTTCTGAGAGCGTCATCAATAGCTCCTTCCACGCGCTTGGCTTTATTCACGAGGCACAGGTCGGGGAAAGGCTGGTTGTTCACTGTGACAGCAAGACTGGTAATGGAAACACTGATTTCATCTGGGTTGGCCCGGATAACAGACTGCTGGAGCCCGATAAAGACATGGGAAACTTTCGTGTGTTTTACAATGGCAGTCTGGTTATAGAGAGCCCTGGTTTTGAGGATGCCGGAATTTATTCTTGTATCGCAATGAATAGGCAACGCCTGTTAAATGAAACTGTGGATATCATGATTAATGTGAGCAATTTCACCATAAACAGATCCCACGCTCATGAGGCGTTTAACACGGCTTTTACCACGCTCGCCGCCTGCGTGGCCAGCATAGTCCTGGTCTTGCTTTATCTGTACCTGACACCGTGCCCATGCAAATGTAAGTCCAAGAGACAGAAAGATGTGCTGAACCAAAGCAGTGCCCATTCCTCCGTTCTCAGTCCCGGCCCCTCTGGTGATGCCTCCACTGATGAACGGAAGGCAGGTAAAAGAGTGGTATTTCTGGAGCCCCTGAAGGATACTGCAGCCGGGCAGAACGGGAAAGTGAGGCTTTTCCCCAGTGAGACTACAGCCGAGGGCATCTTAAAGTCCACGAGGGTGAAATCTGACTCAGACTCAGTCACTTCTGTGTTCTCAGACACACCCTTTGTGGCATCCACTTAATTGTGTGCCTGTCTTTCTCTGGTGTCATGATTTAATCTCTCCCTTATTTAACTTCGTGTGGTCCACAAAATCAGTAGCAGGGGGGAAATTGTTTTGTCTTTTGAGATAAAACCAAATGGTGTCTTAAGATGGTTGCTAGGAAGTGAAGTAAAGCACACCGGTTGCTCACTGTGCTGGGGAAAGGGGAGGTTGATTTTGAGAGTTTTAAGTTCTAGAAAATAGCGTCTTAGCCTTCAACATCTTTGATGATCTTAAAGCAGAAGGTAATGTGACTGACCATGATCCTCTTATCAGGCTTTCTTACAGGAAAAACAAAGCTTTATATTTTCATTCCTTAAAAATAGAGCCTATTAACTTACAAGAAACAAAGTTGAGCTTTTTTTTTCTTTTTTTAGAAAAACATCAGTGACTTCTTTTCATCTTTAAAAGATGTAGAAGGAGGAGTAGGGTATTTATAAAACATAAAGTTAGTTTGGAGGTTTTCCAGCCAAAAACCATCATTTCAGACCAGAATGGCCAAACTCTGATAACACTCACGGGGTTATGCCACAGCCTGTGGAGTGTGGAGTAAGCAGTGGAAACGGGGTGCTTGTTGGGCTGTCTCCCTTCCCTGTACTATTTATGCTGTACAAGAGCTCTCACTGGGAAATTAAAGGTGTCATTATTTGTCGCCAAGAATGTGTGTCCCTATCAAAATGTCTGAGCAACTCTAAACCTTCGCTGTAACAGGCTTGTTTGTCCATCTGCTTGTGTATCTGTAAACTCTTAAGTTACATGGACTACTCAGTGGCCCCAAATGTGACGGACTTGGGACATTTAAATTAGTATAAATACATACGCTCTGTGACTTGATGTTTCAGTTGCCTATTTACAAATGCAATCTGTGATGTTTTATGTGACCGGATTGTACTGTTTGTGTGAAGCACCGTCACATGGTGCACACGTTACGGCAAGGGTCTCTTCAAAAGTCTTGTGATTGCCGTAGGGATTTTATTTTTATAGAGGGATAAAACAGCTTTAAAATATCCTAATCCGATTTTTCTCTCTGTGTCATAGTTTATTCTGATATCATGTATTCCAGCCAGGTTTGGGAGAAACTTAAGTTCTAGTTTTAGGACAAGTGAGTACCTGGGAGAGCTGAGTATTCCCACATCTGCCAAGAAATGGTCATCTGCCTCTCCGGCACTGGAACGGAGGGTTTGAACCAATTGATGCGTCAGCTTCCTTCCCATATTAAAATTTGGTTTCCTGGCAGTGCTGTCAGCCCCAGAGTCACCCTGGCCTTCTAAACCTGTACCCTATGTCGAGGGAATACAGGGTTAAGGTGAACATCACTGACAGGTCCGGATGGACCAGCACAACACCAGAGCTCACAAGGGTCTGAGTGAAGGAGGCTCAGAGAGACTCATGGGTTGGGTATGACCAGTGGCTGAGGGACAGGAAGAGACGAAAACCCAGGCTCAGCATGCTCACTGGAGGGACAAGGGGTCCAAAAGAATTGTTACCTTAAACACTCATGGGTATGGAGAAAGAATGAAATCAGAAGCGGGATGAAAGGCAGAGGAGAAGCAGATCCACGTCTTCCTAGGGAATGCTGGGCGTGGTCAAAGTGAGATGTTCTAGAGACAGAGATGAGGAAGAAAGGTTGACTGGCTCACTGGGAAAGCGGTTCTCGTAGTGGCGGACTAAGGACAGCTCTCTGAGTGCTGTCTGGCATTCTCTGTAGCAGACTGGTTGTCAGGGAGTTAAGGAGAAAGTGGTTGGGGGGGCCCTAGGGAAAAGGATGTGGAATGGGGGCTCAGTACTGTGAACACAGGGTTAAAAATGACCATCCGGCTTCTCAGATCCCTCATCCTTCAGAGGATGGGATCCTTCAGAGCCATGTTACCAGCGAGCATTTTATTGTGGTTGCAGCTGTTTACGTAAAGATGTGTGGAGCTGGTGTAACCACCGGGGCCACCTTCTCTTCTCCCTTCACAGCAACCACTAAGGGCACGAAGGTGCTGCCTCTCAGGTACGATGGGGCTGGCGTCACTCTGGCAACAAAACTGAAGAGGGTCCCTAAATTGCATCTCATCTGGATGAGACCCATAAGGGCTTCTTCCAGCTGCTGATTCTAAGAAATAAGTGTTGGGCTTGGCAGGGAAATGGGGCAGTTCTGGGAGTGGTGATGGCATTCGGTCACGGCTTCTTCTAATGCCCAGAGGCCAGATTAGGGGTAGGATACACTTAAATAGAAACCAAGGTACTGTTAGTCCGAATAAAACAACAAACAATCCCAAGTTTTCAAAACTCTCCATTTCAAGGAAATACAAAAAACAAGAAGATAAAGAAGATAAATCCTGTGGGATTCTAAGTGCCAAGGCTTATCAGTTCTTAAGTGGGCACCTGATCTCGGGTGTTTTAAATATAGGAACAAAATTTAATGTGTGTTTTATAAATTTGCCTCACTCAAAACTTTTTATAATTTTCCTTCTAAGTAATAACCTGGACTCATGCAACTGAGTGCCTTTCTTAAGTGGGGAGACAGTACGCAGTGGGGAGAGGTGGCGGCTCATGGAGAGTCAAGTACCCGCCTCAGGTGGGACGTTCTCTTTCTCAAAGGCTTATTATTCCATCGTGTGTTTGTATGTGCATGCATGTATGGAAGTGTATGTGTGCATATGTGTGTGCATGTGCGTGCATGTGTGTGCACAAGTGCAGGTTCCTGTGCAGGCCAGAGGTACCTGATCCTCTGGAGTTGGAGTTACACTAGTTTTAAGCTGACTGACTCAGATACTGGACACTGAACTCTGGTCCTCTAAAAGCTTTTACCCCTGAGCCATCTCTCGCCCTGATGAAATTTCCTTGGGTTTAGAGTATGTTCACTGATTTGGAGATTCTAGGTTCACTCTTTTTATATGTGTGTATGTGTGTGTATGTGTAAAATAGTTATAATTTTGAGTTAAGATTTTTAGAGGCATGGAGGTGGGGATTCGGTGGTTAAAACCCAAACCTGATGACCTGAGTTGGGGGTCCCCAGAACCCAGATCAAAAACTACCCAGTAGCTAAGCACCAGTAACCCCAGAACACCTTAGAAAGATGAGGGAGAGACAGGAGGGCAGCGAGCCTGGCTTACACAGTGGTGAAGATACTCTAACAAGGCACAGGGCAGGCGAAGGCCAACATGGGAAGTTGTCGTGTGACATCTGTGCCGACACAGTGGCGTCTATGCACCTGTCTGCACACACAAGCACACACAAACACAAGTATACACACAGACACACACAAACACAAGCACACAAGCGCACATAGAAGTGCACATGAGAACACACACAAGCACACATACAAAGCGCATACACAAACACCAGTATACACACAAACACAAGTACACAAGCACACACAACTACACACACACAGGCACATACACACACATAAGCACACACAAAATATTTTAACTGCACTTTCAAGACTAACTTCCTGGAAAGATGCCCTAAAGCGACTTTAGTATGTAGGCTCGGCCTCTGCCTCTCTCCTCCCTGCTGCCCCAGACACAGTTCAATATTTATTTTTAGTTTTGCTTGACTAAGCATAGAAAAATGGATTTTATTTTTCCAAATAAACATTTTTCCCAAACATTGATTAGAAAAGGGAAAAGATATAATTGTGAGGATGGAACATGAGAGACCAGGCAGGCACTCTCAGTCCAAGACCCGAGAAGATGTGTGTTTGGGGAATCCCGCTAAGTACTGTTGAACAGGGTCCAGCCACAGCCACTGCTGATTCCGGTGACTTTCTGGTGCCGTCTGACGCTCTTAAAGGCCCAGCAGTAAGTCCAAAGCCAGACTTCTCCACAGAGTCTTAGGAGAAAGTCAGACAAGATTGGCTTCCCACTCCTAATCAGAGAGTCTAATTCAGGAAGTTTGGGATGGAGCCTACCAATCATATTTAAAATTTTTTCTTACCATATGATTCTCATTCTACCTGCTTTGTTGAAACACGTGCTGAATGGAACCATAGCAGATTTCATCTGTTGGGGCCCTTTCAAAATGCAGTATTACTTGTAGTGGATTTATTAATAATGATAAAAATCTTTGTCCCTAAAAATAGATTTTTTTTTTAACCAAGATTTTGGTCTGCTAACTCTAAATGAACCCCTAAGTAGAACACTGGCTGGAACTTAACGGCTTATGTTTTTCTAAATTATGAAATCTAAAATTACTTTGACACGACAACATCCCCGATTCTTTCATTTTTAAAACTATTTTTAGTCTGAAAGCGGCTACAACAGATCAGGATTTTAACAGCGAGCACCGGAGCTTTCAAATTTGATTAGCTCATGGCACCATTAGCTTACATCCCAAGGATTTTGAGTGCGGGTTCCATCTACAGAGAACCAAAATGTCATTGTTTTTCAACATGCTAGACTATTCTTTTTGAAAATCCACTAGAACGTTTCCTGGTTTCCTCCTTCCTCCCCTTCCCAAGCGCAGCTCCAGGCCCGTGTTCTTTATTTCTCGTCATGGTAGTCTATGTGCAGAGGTAGCTACTGGTCTGCCATATATGTTAATCAGTTGGGTTTTTTTTTTATAATCACAATAATCATGACAACTTTAAGTACGCAGACAGGTGTTTCCTGGAGTGTCTCTATGAGGCATGGTGGACAGATAAGATTTTTCTGGGTCATAGTCTGCCGTCTGTTGCTTTAATAGCAAGGTGCCCAATGCACCTTGGTGAGGGAGGGGTTTATTTTCATTACGCATCCTGATACGGTCCATCACTGATGGAAGTCAGTCTGTCACCAGTGCAGAAGAATGCTTCTTTCTGATTTGCTCTCCCCAACTTGCTCAGCCCGCTTTCTTATATATTCCAAGATACTTCTGTAGGAGTGTCCTTGCCCACAATGGCCTAGGTCCTCCCCCATCCCTCATCAATCAGGAAATGCCTCACAGACATGCCTACAGGCCAGTCTGACAGAAGCAATTCCTCCTTTGAGATTCCCTCTTCTCGGGGACTTCAAATTGATTTAAAAAAAAAAAAAACTAGCCAGGATGCCTCTTGAATTATTTAGAATATTGCCTAGGGGCCATTGAGACTTGCAGATGGGTTACAGGGAAGGCAGCCTTTATATAAGGACAAGGGTAAACAAAATGGTTAGACACTGGAAAATGCAAAAATACTGGACTCGTGTATTAATCACCTACTGAGTACCAAGCTCACAATGAGAAGTAGTATTTATTAAGCACCTACTGAGTACCAAGCTCAAATGAGAAGTAGTATTTATTTAGCACCTACTGAGTACCAAGCTCACAATGAGAAGTAGTATTTATTAAGCACCTACTGAGTACCAAGCTCAAATGAGAAGTAGTATTTATTTAGCACCTACTGAGTACCAAGCTCAAATGAGAAGTAGTATTTATTTAGCACCTACTGAGTACCAAGCTCACAATGAGAAGTAGTATTTATTTAGCATGTACTGAGTACCAAGCTCACAATGAGAAGTAGTATTTATTTAGCACGTACTGAGTACCAAGCTCACAATGAGAAGTAGTATTTATTTAGCACGTACTGAGTACCAAGCTCACAATGAGAAGTAGTATTTATTTAGCACGTACTGAGTACCAAGCTCACAATGAGAAGTAGTATTTATTTAGCACGTACTGAGTACCAAGCTCACAATGAGAAGTAGTATTTATTTAGCACGTACTGAGTACCAAGCTCACAATGAGAAGTAGTATTTATTTAGCACGTACTGAGTACCAAGCTCACAATGAGAAGTAGTATTTATTTAGCACGTACTGAGTACCAAGCTCACAATGAGAAGTAGTATTTATTTAGCACGTACTGAGTACCAAGCTCACAATGAGAAGTAGTATTTATTTGCTGTCAGCCCCCATCACAGCAAGCTTGAAAGATGGGAAGTCTAGCAAATGGAGAAAGAAGGTCAAAACAGAAAAAGTAATTTTCTCAGGTGACGCCGTTAATAACTTGTATTAAATCATGTAGTCACACACACACACTCACACACGCATGCACACCACACAT